ATAGCTTGATGTGCAATGGTCTTACTATAGCTTGGTATGTAATGGTCTTACTATAGCTTGGTGTGCCATGTTTTTACTATAGCTTGGTATGCAATGGTCTAATTATGGCTTGGTGAACTTCTAAACATGGGTTCTGGTCTGCATATTCCAAATGTGGCCGTCGTGAGAAGGTTATATGCATTATAGTTTTTTTTACATTTTTGTACATAATATTTTGATGCATTAAATTTCATCTGCCATTTAAGTACTAAGTTAACCAATTTGTCCAGATCATTTTGTAACTGAATTAATGTATGGTACTACATCAAACGTTTTGCTTAAATCTAATTTTAACACATCTACTTGCTCTGTTTTATCCAGATGTTTGACTATATCTTCAATTCTTGTCACTAATTGAGCTTGTAATAATCTTTTCTGATTGAGACCGAATTGGTAATCTAGGATTTTATATTTCTCTAGATGTTGCAGTATATGTCGAAAAATATTTACGTTTTGTGAGGTAGCAGATATCCATGAAATGTGATTAACTAGCAATCTTTTATCTTCCTTCTTAAAACGTGCTATGGTGATTTCTATTGCCCAATTGTCTAGTACTGGACCTTCTTCGTGTTTTTATTTTTCCATATGTAGGACTCTAAAGTGCGAAGGGGACGCTAAAGTACGATGGTCACGCGAAAGTGCGATGGTCTGCGCTGAAGTGCGATGCCTCCATACGCTAAAGTCTGATGTTCCGCGAAAGTATAGACGTTAGTAACGTAGTTGGATTATGACGTTAACAGTCGTTTATACAAACCAAAAATGTACATACCGAAAAATAAATTAAGAATATTTGATTAACAACTTTTAAACCAAATGTCCATGCTTTGTCGGCTGAAGCAAACGTGTTTTTTTTTGGGGTGCTGGAAGAAGGACATGTACCCTGCAGTCGACCATTTAACTTTATAGATACAAAATAGTATAGGCATAAGTATCCTGTATCCTGCTTCTATTTGAAGCAAACGAATACATTTAAATCATTGTTTACGTTGCAGTTTACTTTGCGGTTCCCGTTAAAATATTGTCGATTTTATTGAAAAGTAACGTCAGCAAAATAAAGGTACATGTTTTTAAGCGTAAATTATAAACTGTCGGCTAAAACATTAGTTTGTACATTGTAGAAAAATATAACATGTATTTGTGCTCGCTACGAAAAAGGAGAAAGCTCGGCGAACATCGCCTTTCTCTCGCATTTAAATTAAAGCTTATACAAATAAATGTTACATGTTCCGACAATGAACGAAGTTTGTATTTGTATTTTACAATGACAATGACGACTGTAAAGGGAGGTGTTCACATTAGTGATAGACTGTGAACGGCAAGCTACACAAATTATCCAAATATTTAATACGCCCGAATTGTTAAAAATTAATTTTACAGGAAATATAGTAATTTGTGACACCAAAATTACCTTTTAGCAATTATTACGTGGTCGTTCTTCTAAATTTAGAAGCAATCACTTAAGCCTACCGGTAAATTATAAAGCCTATCACATATATTTAATACACTGTAAAAATGGTGTTTAGAGTCTAAACATAATCCTAAACGCAAATTTTGTTCTCACTTGAGCACATGTTTAACCTTAAACATGTTCTACTTTGTATATATGTTTAGGTTTAGAACATCATAATACTGTCTCATAAGAACATGTTTAACCCTAAACATATTTAACCCTCTAGAACATGTTTAACCTCTATGTGTTCCTTTCCTAAACATGCTTAACCTCCGTCATGTTCCAATTCTAAACATGTTTAGCCTCCGTCATGTTCCCATTTTAAACATGTTTATCGGGTATATTTGTGCTTGAGTACTCGTGGTAAATACTACTGTGACAAGAGTCATCCAATTAGTCTTCAAAGACCATACAGTAACTCCAAAATCTACTGTCGGTGTCTAACATTACATTGGAATCTTTACATGTGCAAGCAGTCGCAACCTGAAACAGATTAAAACAATCCACAAAGTATCATGTATAAAATACCTCAATTTTAATAATATTTCTTTAAATATAATTATCATAACGTTTGTTTGCGATTCCTTTTATAAATAATTAACAAAAAACGTGAATTCAGATGTGTAGATGTAAAACAAATTTAAAAAATAGTATGCCTACCCCTTTTTGTCGATATTGTAAAGAACCTTGTGGTGTTTGAAATTTCCTGTAAGGACACTCTCTGGTTTCACCTAATTACATTGTAATTGACAATAATAATAGATAATACTTATCTGACAGTTCCGTCGTCGCTTTTTGAACCTTCCATGGCATGGATTGTTGATCTTCTGCATCCCGGAATTTCAAAATTTCAAACGCATGATTATTTGCGCACGCGCCAACAGTGCTTCCTATTGTTTGTTGTGTTCTAAACCTAAACATGTTTAGGCTCATGTCATGTTTAGCTTATAGTTATATCTAACTTCAAGTGTCTTGTGTTCTAAACCTAAACATGTTTAGAGGAATATCACGTTTAACATTGAAGTGTTTAGGATTAGAACATAATCCTAAACATGTTTAGATCTAAACATGTGCTCAAAGTGTTCTATCTCTAAACTCCTTTTTTACAGTGTATACCTTAGCAAACTAGCTTTTGCAAAAAGACTATTTTTTAACATCCATGTTCTTTAACGTTTTGAGCCCTCTAACCTTACCCTATTGGTCCATTGCACTTTAGCGTGATATACCATCGTAATCTAGCAAACAAACAACCATCGCACTTTAGCGTGTGACACATCGTACTTTAGCGTAGACCATCGCACTTTAGCGTGACCATCGCACTTTAGAGTACCATCGCACTTTAGAGTCCTACACATATATTGTTGTGATGATTGGTGAGATACTGAAAGCACATTCCTTAAGGACCCTGTTTGGGATGCTGTCTTAGCCAATTGCTTTTGGGAGATTTAAATTGCTTTGAAGTTTTTTTCAGGTTTTATTAGGTTAACGAAAAGTTTTTTCAAAGACTGATACAATAAAGATTTAAAATAAAAATGATTTATAACTTTGTATTGTATGTAAATACGTTGTTTCCATGTCAAATATTTGTACCTATATTTAGGAATATCATTAATAAACTATTGACTTAATAATGACTAACAATATTTATTGACATTGTAAACATGTCAAAATATATTCATACAACTTCTGTCCAGATAGTTCAATAATTATATATATAATTATAGTTTACGGTTAAAAAAAAAACTTAGTAAGATGATTAAGGTGTGTGCATTTAAACAACACACACAAAAATTAAAAAAAAAAGCTATTTATTAGTTTATTCTAATTTAATAGAAATAAGAAGATGTGGTATGAGTGCCAATGAGACAACTCTTCATCCAAGTCACAATGTGTAAAAAGTAAACAATTAAAGGTCAAAGTACGGCCTTCAACACGGAGCCTTGGTTCACACCGAACAGCAAGCTATAAAGGGCCCCAAAATGACTAGTGTAAAACAATAAAACAGGAAAACCAACGGTCTAATCTATATAAAAAACAAGAAACGAGAAACACTTATAAACCACATCAACAAACGACAACCACTGAACAACAGGTTCCAGATTTAGGACAAGTGCAAACAAATACAGCGGGTTTAAACGTTTTAACAGGCGCCAACCTTCACCATAACCTGAAATAGAAGTGTAACATTACAACATAATAGACACACTATAAAATATCAATTGAAATAGTTTAACTCAATCAAAAAGACATATTAACAAACACAAGTAGACATATACTGAACGAATAAATTTGATCTATGACACAATATAAATACAATATTAAATAAAAAGGGGGAGATGTAAAACAATGTCAAAAAGACAACTATAACCTGAACAAAATGGCGTCAAATAAAATAACGTACACAGGTACATCTTAATATAACAATTTTGTTGTTAGGAGTACAGAAATATTTTTTACAAAATAGATAAATTTGTTGTTCATAGTACGAGAACAGAAGTGAAAATTTATAGTAATACTAAATACTTTTCAAAGGTGGTACATATTAAAAATAGTGAGACGAGGTATAAACACCGCCACATATTTTAAATTGTCCCTGTTCCTGGTTAGAAATCTTATCAGTAGTTATATATAAATCATATAATAATGTCTAATGAATGTTTTGTCTAAAATGAATGTGTATATGATTTTTGTTGGTTATTCATATGCTCATATGGGCCCTTTAATTAGGAAATAAACTGATTGTTTTGAATTGTTTTTTTCTTTTTGTTTTTTTTTTATTTTGTTGTTGTTTTTTTTTTTTGTTTTTTTTTTTTTTTATTTATATTATTATTTTTCGTATATTTTATAAAGCCATGTATGAGAGATTTGGGGGTAATTGTCAAAATAGGACAACACTTTAACGACATAAATTTAATGTTTGCATGTTTTTTTCTTCAGATATCTCCTGTGAAACTGACAATGGAATATATACAACTGCTCATATTAGGATGTTTAATTACATTTTGCTCTTCGGCACATTTTGACACACAAAAACATTCAAATAAAAATGAAAATAAAGCTTCATTTAGTGCTAATTCAAATCGGCCAAATCAAATATCTAGAAGCGAAAGTTCAAACGTGCCAAGACAAATTTCTGGAAATGTTGGTTCAAATATGCCACGAAGAATAGTTATTGGTTCAAAACCGGGAATGACGAGTTTTTCATTTAAATCTGCATCTAAAAATGGAGCAAATATTCAGCCAAAACCAAAGCCATCCCAACCAAATGATATAAATCAACAACCACGGCCTAAGCAGATGGAACCATCACATTCTATCAGTATGAATCAAAATGAAAAACCGAGGCCCAAGCATACGGAACTTCTACATTCTAACAGTATGAATCAAAATCAACAGCCGAGACCCATGAGGACGAAACCATCACATTCTAACAGTATGAGTCAAAGTCAACAACCGAGGCCTAGGCAAGTGGAACTATCACATACTAACAGTATCAACCAAAATCAACAACCGAGGCCCAGGCAGACGGTACCATCCCATTCTTTCAGTATGAACCAAAATAAACAACCAAAGAATAGGCAGACGGTACCATCACATTCGTACAGTATGAATCAGCGTCAACAGCAACCAAAAAAACGACCGTTTTCAACACCAACGAATCGACAGTTTCAAGGAACACCTTCGCAACCACTACCTAATAGAAATTTCCTTATACCCTCATCTAATGTAAACCAACCACAGCCACCTCCGAATTCGAGCCAACCACAGTCACCTCCGAATTTGAACCAGCCACAGCCACCTCCAAATTTCAACCAACCACGACCACCTCCAAATTTTAACCAGCCACAACCTCCTCCGAATCTGAACCAAAAACGACCACCTCCAAATTTGAACCAACCACAACCACAGCCACCTCCAAATCTGAATCGACCGCAGCCAACATTGCATGTAAAGCTACAACATCGCCAACCAAATGTGAATCAACCACAACCACCCCCAAATGTGAATCAACCATTGTTCAAACCAAATGTGAATCAGCCACCGCCCCAGCCAACTGTGAACCAACGACAGGCACAGCCCCCACCAAATGTGAATCAGCCACAGCCCCATCAAAATGTGAATCAACGACAGCCCCCACCAAATGTAAATCATCCACAGCCCCAACAAAATGTGAATAAACGACAGCCACCACCAAATGTGAATCAGCCACAGCCCCAACAAAATGTGAATCAACGACAGCCACCACCAAATGTGAATCAACCAGAGCCACCACTTAATCAAGGTTTTGATTTTCAATATCACACAATAGTGTCTTCTAACAATCCTAACAATGCGCAAAAATTTGTGTTTACTGCTCCAACCCTCCAGGCGTTCCCACAAGGTAATAATAATGCTTTGCATGCTGACATTATAGACAAGCGTAACAATATTACTGATACCTCGGTGATGGGAACAAGTAGAATAGACATACAAAGTAGTATTAACCATACTGGCATGGTCGGTAATAACGGACACACTATTTTTAGTTCAAACTCTGTGCATGCGTCATCACAAGCGCCTAGCATAGGTTTTAACATTTCTAATGACACTAATAGAATAAATCCATTGTCTCCTCTTCGGTCGCTTAGCAATAGAGAATTTATGCAGTTCAAGATGCACAATTCAAAAGACATTTTTAAACATTTTGTGTCGACAGCTGATAGTTTCGATAATCCAAATAATAAAACAGATGCCACTGTGCATCGAAAAGTGGTGCTCGAACAGCTGAATAAACTGTTTGAAAATATGCCAATATTTAGTTTTAGACATAATGTTATAAATGCTGCAACAAAAGGTAGAGATAATAGACTCAAGGCTAGTAAGAAAAACAATGTAAACCACATGATTCCGAATTTCAATCGCTTGGATAAAATTCAACAACCATTTATTCATAAATCATTTTCGCCTGTTGATTTTGCTACGCCGCATAATAGTGAGACACATGTAGTCGTTAGCAAATCTTTCAATACTTACGGTCAACAGACAAACAAGGATGAGTTACACACGACAAGACATCAGCCAATTAAGCACATGGTCAATCTCAACGATAAAGAACTGACACAAAAGACAAATTTATTTACAGTTTCCCGGAAAGATCCTTATAATCCCAAGAAAATGTCATACCATAGTGGTAAAGGTAGAAGAATGAACGTTCTGTCAATGTTGGAAAATAATTTACTACATTCTGAGGTACAGAAAATGAAAAACGATGACTTAAGGACTAAGAATCAACAAAGTTGGTTTGTATTATCACATCCAATAACACAAAATAACACAAATGCAACGTTATCAACGAAAAACCAAACAAAAGCAGGAAAACAAGTGAAAATGATTTCAAAACAGAGCGTTCCATTAAAGCATTTTAATACTGGCAATGAAATTACACTTCCTCATGTTGTAGCAAATGTCACTGCAATTCAGGATGGGACTTTCAACAAAAGTTCAGATGTCATTAGATTACCACTTAACATCTCAGATATAATCGCACTCCGTGGTAGATTACTGAAGGATGAAGACAAAACAAATGCTATAACAACAGAACCAATGTCAACTACAATTGACAGTTCGGTCAACATGCCAAAATTTGAAAATCAACGACCTCCGTATTGGAACAATTTCAATATAAGTGAGACTGGTAACGAATTAGATAATATAAACACGACCATTTTGTCTTCAATAAACAAATCTGTAGCTGCATTGTCGCAACAACATAATGAGCCTAATATTAGTCACCTGTCAATCTTAAACAACAGTTCATTCTTACCGTACTCTACAATGCATGATACTGCCAATCACTCACAGCGATTGAATAATTTATCAAAGAAAGACAATCTGACTGATAAGACGGAAAGTATTCCGACTGCTCAAAGTCTGACCACAGTCACACACTCTTCTAAACCTTTGACCACAGTGCTAAATACCATTTCTACAGTTACAACTATAACTAATAGTTTAACTAATGCTGAATCCACTTATCATAACACTGGTAATGTAATTTCAAAATTTTATATTTCGAAAGCAATTATATCACCTGAAATGTCGAAGAAAGCTAAACTAAATAGTGAAGAAGGAAAATCAAGCATTGCAGACAGTAACAATGATTTATCAAAGACGAACATCCCAAATAGATGGAATTCAATTATCAAAGAACATGATATTGCCGGTATAAACGTGATCAGCAATAAAAATAGAACAATTCTGCCTTTATTAGTTGAAAATTTAACAAAACATGAACCTGAATTGAATGGCCACATGAATGTCAGTCGTCTAATAACGGATAAAGACAATTCTTCAAAAACTTTCTTTGGAATGAACCTTTCGGAACCAAACTCGCTGAACTCGAGTATTCTGTTAGTAAACAAAACTTATGACGAGCAATTAGCAATTAGTACGAATACATCACAGAGATTGGAAGTAAAGATGAAAGATATAGATAAAACTTCTATGAAAACCAAAATGGTGTCTGCAAATATAGCAAATTTGTACAACAACATTATGTCTAGAATAAAAAATATTTATTCTAATGCAAAAACATTAGATGCACATGGTGAATGGTATCCGCATGACGTTAGCAGAACTTCAAATCCTGTAATTATCATTCCTAATGAAGCGATGTTGACATATTTGGCTCCGGGTTTTATCAAAAGTTTTAGTACAAAAGACAGCAAATGAAACCGAACCAGGTTATTACAAGATAATTTGATGAATATATGTAGCATGTAAAGATTAACTGTATTTTTTTTATAGAATATTGACAGAGGCCAAATTCTGAAAATGTTATTTAATATTTTTCATGTTATGTTAAAATTAATAGTGAATTCATGGTGGCGTAGACGCGATTTGTACATAAATTAGTAAAATAAGATATTGGCTAATTCCCTGAAGTATCTAATAATCGTTTTAACTGTAATTTTATAAAAACAAGATAATCGATTTGTTTTAAGATCTGTGAATAATGAATCAACAATCAAATGACCTCTGACTTATACGTTTTGCATCTTTAAAAATGATGACTTATCTGACTAATCCTTCACAAATGAGGAATAGTTTTCAGTGGTATTTTCTAAAAACATTTTTCTTCCATGTCATATAGACCACATATACAGATAATTAATGTTTGTAGGGTAATCTCTGTCAGCTTTATTTATTTCTTGTGTGTTAATAGTAAACATATTTTTTCTTTAAAACAAATCGCACATGGTAACAAGAAATTGATACATTAAGTGAAAATATCTGATTCGTTTTTAATTGAATTTTGCGACACATCATTTTCGGTATATTTGTCATTTTTATATGAACCATTATTATGTATAGAGCATCGAAACATCATTTTATATCTATATAGTCATTGATTACCTTAATGAACATTATTCTCACATTATACCATCATTTTCGCTATATTACGACTCGAGCATTGTTCGATATAAAATGTCTCATTTACATAATTCCAATCATTTCGTAGTCTTATTTTTTTATTTCCCTCTTGTGCATTTGAAAACTAATATTATTTTTATCCCATCGTGCCAAACTAGCAGTAGTACCATATGGACTAAATAAGTTCTATTGTGAAAGGTGTGGATTATTACATATTATATTTGTAACTTTTGACAATCTGATTTTTTACATATATGTATTTGTACGTTTTTGACAATCTACGACTGTGTTAATATTCATACATCTGCATTTCCGTCTTGTCAAATAGATTACAATGTGTTAATGTAATGACTCAATTAATTCTGTCATTACTTTAAAACATGTCTTATTTGAAGAAAAAAATACTACATGTATGTTATGTGATATCCTGTTATCTTATTTCTATTTGAGATTGAATATTATATTTAATTGTATTTTTGGTATCAAAGCGTTTATATTTTTTATTTTATTAAAAACTTTTCGGATATATTGTGCACGAGTTATTACATATTAATACTTCTTGACTTAAAATTATTTCATAGCGAACGGCTGCAAAACTTTGTGTATGCCTTAAAGCCAATTATGCAGTTTCGTAAATAAAATTTTACTTAATGAAATATTAATGAAGCAAAAAACAAAATCCTATGTGAATGATACACATACAATATAAGGCAAACACCTGTTTTTTGTTCAAAACATGATAAAAACCGAGTGAATTGTTTTTCTGAATAAACTGTATCCCCAAAATTTGCTTGCAAATGAACGAACGTTAACCACATTTATGTTGTTATGATATAATTTTATATTATTTCTTTGTGAGATTGTATATTATGTATAGTAATATTTTTGGTATCAAAGTGTTTATATCTTTTATTTTATTAAAAATAATTCGGATATATTGTGTATGATTGATCATTATATATTAATAAGTCTAGACTAAAAATTATTTCAAAGCTGACGTCTGTAAAACTTTGTGTATGCCTTAATGCCAAATATGAGTTTCGCAAATAAAACTTCACTCAACAAAAAACAAAACAAAAAATAAACCAAGCAACCTAAATTGTATACAACTTTATTTTTTAATATGTTTCCTATGTTTGCGTTATAACGCAAACCTTTGCGTTATAACGCAAACATTTGCGAAATAACGCAAACCTTTGCGAAATAACGCAAACTTTTGCGATATAACGCAAACCTTTGCGTTATATAACGCAAACATTTCCGATATAACGCAAACATTTGCGAAATAACGCAAACCTTTTGCGTTATAACGCAAACATTTGTGATATAACGCAAACCTTTGCGAAATAACGCAAACTTTTGCGGTATAACGCAAACCTTTGCGAAATAACGCAAACCTTTGGGTAATAACGCAAACATTTGCGATATAACGCAAACCTTTGCGTTATTGCGTTATAACGCAAACCTTTTGCGTTATAACGCAAACATTTGTTTTATCTTATTTCTCATTAAGATTCAAAGGAAGCAGCGGTTATTAATGGAGGAGACTGCATATATTAAAATTTTCCCCCTTTGTATACTCATTGCAAAGTAATATGCCTGAATATTTGGAACATACTATTGACTAATAATGAGTAGGATAATAGATATAAAGATATGGTTTGAGTGCCAACTAGAAAACTCTCCATCCAAGTCACAATTTGTAAAAGTAAACCGTTATAGGTCAAAGTACGGTCTTCAACACGGAGCTTTGGCTCACACCGAACAGCAAGCTATAAAGGACCCCAAAAATGATGTACATGATAATACATGTATACATATTACAAAGAAAATTAAGTGATTGAAGTTATACCGAAAGAAATAAAAATCAACCCTGCTTATAAAGCTATAGCCGATAATAGATATACTTCCAAAGTAAGCTCTCATTTGAGGATTTCTGTAAGGTTGGTAAGATTCAAACAAGCTACCCTTTTGCAATAAACGTATAAAATGAAGATGTTTTATTAATAAAATAGCTACCCAAGCATCTTAAAGTTACCTAACTAGATTGAAATGACAATTTCATGACTTTTTATCAAAGAATCTTTATCATATTCTGAGATTTCTTACATCAAATTAAAAAAAAAATGTTTCTTTGAATTCTTAATCATTCATTTAAAAGCAGAAAGATCATTTTGTCTAATTGACTTGACAGTTTCACAATTGTATGACATTATTTTTCCTCTTATGTACTTAAACAAAATTTTCAAAATGTTGGCCTTTCAATTAAAATATGCCTATACTATATCTTTTTTCTTGTGAAATTATATACTTTTCTGATGCTTTATTCCTAAATATGCATATTTATTATAATGATTTGGCCTTGTATTTATGGTTTCTTTTCTTAACTAAATCACAACCGAAATTGAATGACAGACGGACATAAATATACAAAACTTAATGAATAATTGAAATCAAGATTTTTTCATTATAACGCAAAGGTTTGCGTTATAACGCAAATGTTTGCGTTATAACGCAAAATGTTTGCGTTATTTCGCAAAAGGTTTGCGTTATTTCGCAAACATAGAAGGAAATTTAAAAAAAAAGAAAATGTGTGGCGCTAATACGCTTCCGTAGTATCCTGTATCAATGATACCAATACAATATAAGGCAAATACCTGTTTGATTTTTTTTCTGTTAAAAACAAGATAAAAACCGAATGAATTGTTTTGTTCTCAATTAATTGTATCCCCAAAATTTGCTATCATAAGAGAAAAATGTCATGAACGAACGTTTAAGGCAATCCTTAAGAATCATTCTGATACATTAAGTTCAGCATTATTACAACTATTTATTAAAATGGTTCGGTTCGGTGTTAGATGAATGATGAGCACAAGCTACATAGGTGTGCCTATATTTAGCACCTTCTTCACTTATTACTCTTTTTTACGTGCATATACGCCGTCTTTCTGTGGTATGTTGCTAAAGCAATTCGTAATGGCGATTGATCAAATTTAAAACTTATAATAAACTTTAAAAATATGGTAAATGTTCAAAAATGCAAATAGCTACCGACGAAAAAAACCCACTGATTCTGCTTTATTCAGTTGGTTAGCGATCTTTCTGCGCATTGGTATTGGAGACCTGGTAAACTAGAGATTCTTTCGAGCTGCATTCTAATGCTTTATCAACTAACAGTATAATCCTAAAAACTAATTCCTTACAAACTAATAAAATGTTTCACAAATAATACTAACCTTTCGACAACTTATATCTTAGAGATAAATATTAAGACGCTCGTGTTTAGTCTTTACTGGTGTCCAGTCTTGACTTTATTCATAAATTATCAAGGACGTCATGGAAATTCGTTTTCTAATAACAATTTCTATTTTGAGCGCATGTATGACCTTTAACTGATTGAAGAATCATTATCTTTGAATTTATGAATAATCAATAATTTGATATGAAATAAAACTCCGCACATGTTTACACATGCTTAAAAACTTTAGATTTTTAAAGAGACCACAAAGTATACTGAACGGGACAATATTTCTCAATACAGGTGCTAAACTCCTTATGATTTACCGCAGTTACTACTTTGGAACGATGACTCACTACAATCATTCCATTTAAAACGGTTATGTTAATGCATTGTTTTGTAATTTCAGGTCCACCACGACATTACCAGACTCCATCACCTGGACGTTACCAGACCGCACCATCTGGACAGTTCCAGGCCCCACCTGCAAACCAACAAATATATCAAAGACCTCCAATACCACCACATATGATAAAGCAGCCACCAATAGTACCACAAGGACCAGCGACTGTTAATGTCCTTTCTGCAAGTAATCCTTTCCAGGGACAGCTTGTTCTTGCTTCGAATCAACAAGTTCCGGTAAATGCAGGGCCTCAAACAGTCAAACAACCAGTTCAAGATTTCACTGTTCAAAATTCACTTACTAATAACCTAAACTTGTCACCTCAACCTCAACAGGCCGTCCAATCACAACAAATCTTAACTCAACAACAAGGACAACAAGCACCTGTTCAAATAAACTCTGCTCAACAAGTTGTTCAACCACAGCAAACAGTAAACCAACCAGTACAACCAGCTCAAGCAAATCAAGTTCAACAAGTAATTCAACCACTGTATCCTGTCAATCAACCCATTCAAGCACAAACCCCTCCAAATAAATCCGTACAAACAATGGTTTCTACTCAGCAACAGCAACCAGCAATGCCTATTCAAACACAACCCGTCCATATGCAGCAGCAGCAACCAGCAATGCCTATTCAAACACAAACCGCCCATCTGCAGCAACAGCAACCATCAATGCCTTTTCAAACACAACCCGTCCATCTGCAGCAACAACAACCACATCAAGATCGATTTTCGCCTGCTCCTCAATACCCGCATCAGCAGCAGAGATATAACTATCAACCTCAATATCAACGACCTGTCTATCAACCACCGGTGTATTCACCTAGACCTCATACACCAAAGCCAACTCCTAAACCAACTACAACAACAACTACAACTACAACAACAACACCGAAACCTCCTCCACAAACTGAAGCTCCAGAATATGAAGGAGTAGAAGTGGAAGGACCAACCCATGCTCCACCTCCAAGATATCAACCTGGGTCAAATCAGCATCAGCAACATCCCTACTATCCACCAACTAGAACTCCGATGCAGGACTTTTTTATGATGTATCCTTTAATTGACTACTACTTCACGTGAAGATTTACATTTGATCGGCATACCTTAAAAAGTGGTAAAATGAAAAGTCAATCAAAAAAAGATTAATGCTCCATGGGCCTTTTTATCGATTAGTTGCGTATAACGCAAATATTTCGAACGGTTTAAGTCTTTTCGTTTTGAGCAGAGGTCATATTTCTTGTCGAATACTTTCTTTGACCTTGTAGATGGAAGTCGTCAGCAACATCCGGAAAGCATACGATAACGACAAATTTATTGAGCTCTTTGAAATTAAAACATCTGATATTTGTCAAACTGTGTAATAATTCCATTGTTAGAACGTTGGTATTTATTTAATATTATCTAAATTGTTTGTTTGTGAATAATAAAATATAATTTGGTGTTTAATGATTGAAATTGATCGTTAAAAAGTTGAGAATAACCTTTTTAGCATTTGCATTTTATGTGATCCTGAAACTGTTGTAATTCATTTGTATTGTGTCACAATTGTCTTCATGATTGAAAATAAACTGAACTTGCCTTTTGCGTATCGGAAGGGATATGCAAGGGGAAACTTTGGGTACACTGAAATGTTTATAATAACATAAACGATACCAATTTTGCGGACAAGTTACGTCTCTTCGGTGATGCTCGAGCCAAAATATTTGAAAGTCCAAAACCTAATACAGACGTTGAAGAGCAGATCAATCCAGAGAGGACCTACATTATAGCCTAATCCGGGCAAGGAATCAGAGCTTTGCAAGAGGGATATATATTTGTTAATTTAAAAAGTTTTCCAAAATTTTATAACAGCAAATAATATCCGTATTTTCATTTCAGTACCAAAGAACTGCCTATTGTGCTGGTCATACCCTCGGGGACTAACAGTCCACCAGCAGAGTTATCGACCCTGTGGTAGTAATAACATAAACGGTACCAATGTTGCTGCACCAGATGCGTATTTCGACAAGTAATGTCTCTTCAGTGATACTCGAGGTCAAAATATTCCCAAACCTAATACAAACGTTGAAGAGCATATCAAACCAAAAATGACCTAAAGTATAACCAAATCCGGGAAAGGAATCTGATCTTCGCATGGGGGAGATATATTACCAACGAGTATTTTGTCTCGTGAGATATATTGTGAAAAGAGTCGCAGGGCTTGTCACATGTTTTTGCTGATTTACATCTTGAAAATTACAGATCAGCAATAATAAGTTAAAGACACGCTTTAGTATAATTGAGACGACTTAGGCAATATTTTGATGATTAATGTATATTTCAGGACTTTTAGCAAATACACGAACTCATTATCACTTACTGACAAAAGAAAGACAACCCCTCCTAATCTCACTAAAACGCCTTAAGTCACATGTGACAAGAACCAGTGATTTTATATCAATTCAACTTAATCTTATTACAATAACACAAATTTATCAATTCAGTGCGTAGATCAATGTAAAGTTAAAGAAAAGCTTCTTACCAAGTTGTTTCTATCATCGCCCTTTGGTCTCTGATGGAAAGTTGTCTCATTGGCAATGGAGCCATATCTCCTTTTTAAAAAAGCTCCAAATTTGGTTTTCCCTCAAGTATTCAGATTTTACAATTTATTATACTCCCGCTCCAAAGAAGGGGATAAACTGTGTATGTCTGTCCATCATTTCGTCAGTGCCCCGTCCGTCCATACCATAAAATGTTAATCGCATTTAGGAACTACAAATCAAAGATTTCTGAAATTTGGCACAAAACTGTTTGTGAGCATGATATACAACTCGTACTTCTACCAACTCGTACCCATTTTTGTAGCATTGTTGTATATCATTTAATCAGAGAAATCGTAAGCTTAATGGTAATTTTGTATTTTATAATTGATCTTGTCTGAGAGGTCACATGTATAGTATACATGTCCCTCATCTACTGTAGTGATACAAAAACTTAATGTGTATTTACAAATATGGCTGTTTTGTTGGTAAATGAGGACACATGCCACTTCATCTCAGTTTGAAATCTGCATTTTGAAAAATTGATTTTTGACAGATTTTTTCGTTGGGTGTGTATTGAAGAAGTTTTTTTTTTGTTGATTTCATCGTCTTTTTATATCATAACGCTACCAGACAAATTAATCAAATCCAAATCCATTTTCATACATATATATTAGATACTTAACTGATACTAGTATATGCAATGTATTTTACTAAGGCCGTATTGTTGTCTTTTCGGTGAAAATGGTATTGTGAAAGTAAAACCTCAAATAACGGACTTTGATAATTAAAGTGTCGCATTCCGAAATATATGTTTTTATCGACATCTTTATTAATATGTTTTATCGACATCTTTATCAAAATGTTTTTATCGACATCTTTATCAATATGTTTTTTTTTTAGCAACCACAATCTAATCAGTTTGTAGCACAACTATACTGATATAGACGATTCCTAAGGCAAATGCTATTTCGTGTGATGAACGAGACGTCAAGGTTAATTTACGAAGGAAAGGTGAGAGGCTACAGTAACAATAAAATACTGTATGCTGAGGGCCAGATTTGAAAAAGTACGTAAAATATAATTGATCTTGAATACGATAAAAATAAAGTGGTTGTGATCAAGCAAAGCAATTATTGGACTTTCAGTCCCTGATGATTCCATCCATGCAGTCGCCGTTACCAGACAATATTTTATGTTCAGAAAAACAAATTGTAGCAACTTTAACAAATACGGAGTAGCTATACTGAGGCGAAACATTCTGAATTCGAAAGTTTTAAGTCCAAATCATCAAATGTGAAGTATAAGTTATTATTATTTCTACACTTCTCTTCTGTCTTAGCACGTCGTTTACTTTTTAAAACGTCGTCTCTAGACTACCCAACAACTTCGAGTCAACCTTTATAAATGTTATTTCGGTGTCCATAAGATTTTGTGGCTGTGACGGTAAACAGAAAACACATTACAACAAGCTCATGGATAATCTACGAAAACGCCTGTAACTTTTATTTGTGGTAAATGTAGAAAGAATGTTCTTCAACAAGTTTTTTTCACTTTTCTGCTTTTTGTCTGAATTCATTGAAGATCATACGACTACATATACATCTCTAGCTTTCAAATGATTAGGTTTGAGCATTCCCGAATTAGGTAAATACAGGACGCACAAAATTTATAATATGTAGCTTTTATGTACAGCTATTTTCACGTTAATGTGTGCTTGTTTGTACTTTAAACTGACAACGGTTATACGTACAGATACAGTGTAAAATACATAGTTATTATTGTCTATTGGAAATAGTTTTAGGTTCTTCATTTCCAAACATATTTATGGGAACTTCAAAGGTTATTTGATTGAACTGGGGGTTGGTGGAAGCTTATTTATCTTACCTCCTATACATTTCTAGGAATATGATGGTTAAAACGTCCGCGTGGAGACCGTGTATATTCCATATTAGGTTAGAAGGGAGGCGGGGCTTATTTCATACACGGTTAGTAGTGGTGTTACGTCCCTTTATAAAAACAAAAAGGTACTGAGAAAAAATCTTAAAGGTTTCAACAGACGAAGAAAATTGATGATGAAGATTGAAATAAATTCATCAAACACATTTAAACCTAACAAGTTGTTATTGTTGGCATCTGTTTTTGTAGGATCAATGGAAGTAGTTTGTTAATGCTAACGGTATTGAAGACTTGCTCATTTTGATAGGTCACTAGTCTAAATTTCACACGTTAAGATATTCGGTAAGATAAATTCGTTACATAGTGTGCTAGTGACGTAATACGGTATTCGCTCTCACCCCATATGGAATTTACTGACCCCATATATACCGTATTAGGTCACTAGCACACTATGTAACTAATAGTATATATTTGTTTTACCTTGATTCTACGTCAATATCAATATTGCGTATCATTGCCATTTGAGCGATTCAGGCTCATATGAGTTCCTAGTTGTTCAGAGTTTTTAGTGTGTTTATTTAAAGAGCAACTTATTCAGCCCTTTAATTGATAATCTTTTTATCCAGTGTCTTGTTTTCAGAGTTCTTTGCTTCTTTCTGTATGTTCTGATTCTTTCCTTTTAAACGGATTTTTTTGTGAGAGGGAGAAGATATCAAACGAACAATCAAAAATTACAAGCAGAAGAAAGACAGACAACACTACAAAAAGAATCACAAATAGATAAACAAGAGTCCATAAAACACTTAACAGAAATCATTTTGCAGCAACACGAGCCCTGCTAAAAACCGACATCCTAGTTGATATATCATATCCCTGAAAACTGCATTTGAATGATAATTTCGATTACATAGACCTTCTTTTAACTCAATACATTTTCTAGTTTATGAGGTATATTGATTGAAAAAAACAATTCGCACATCTCATATTGGTTGATTGTTACAGTGTCCAGGTGTGTCAACATGCTGGCGACATTGTTCTTTGTTCTGAAGTTATATATGTCAATTTTCTGCCATCTGAGTGTTCGATACTTACTACTGGACATGAGTATGAAATCGTATTACGAGTGATGAATGCATGACAGCATACCTTGTCGGCCTGGTCTTGTAGTTTTAATCTTAATGAAAATTTCTATCAATGCAATAGCTTTGTTAGTTCATAACTGATAGGTATGAAGGAGTATCACACTCGATATTTGATGTATGGCTTCAAATTAACTTTGTCTAGTTTGTTGACCAGATTTAATACAGCGTGGAAATATTTGTTTAAAACGAGTAGCTTGGTATGTCATATCAAATTCACGTCTAACAAAATAGTCAGTAGCTATCGATCTAATGGCTAAAAGAATATCGGAAAGACAACATTTTCATTGTAGAATTCATCATATACGACAAATATTTGGACCCTTAAGGTAGATGGGGTGTCTTAGTTATAATCCATAGAATTTTTTAATAATTTGCCAAAATGTAGTTTATATCATGCTTTTTAAAAAAAATAATAAAAAGAATGGGTCACGGGGCTTATTTTCACGCTATAGGTTGTGCAAAATTGACAGATTTTGTATAGATTATGCATGGAAAACCAAATTTTCTGCCATAAAATGAAAACTACACCATAGAATTTTGAGATAAAATATGAGAAGATAGCTCTAATAGTATGCTTTCAGATAAGAATAAGAAAAAATGGGGTCACGGGACCCGTTTTCTTGCTTCATAATAAAGTAGGTAAATTCCTAACATATTCTATTGTAAAAGTAACTTTATCTGAATTATCTGCCCTTACATTTGAGTTGCATCCCCTTATGTGGCAAAGTTGGAAAAAATAGAATCAAACAAAAGTATTCTGTTGTTTTGTAAAATACAACCATAAATATGATAAAATATGTCATTTTCTATATAGAAATGAAAATTCTTACACATGAATTACCTACTACTCTCAAAATTTGCACCTTTTATTAAAGATCTAGACCGATTGTTTTCTGGTATTTCAAAATCCAAGATGGAGGAAGACACCCTATCTACCTTAATCGTTCCGAGATTAGACAAATTGTGATGTAATTCAACAAAATCGACCAAATTTATGTAACCCAAACATTAAATTCAACTTAGAAGAAAGAAATGCAAAGAGCACTGACAATCACTAACAAGTTTTATG